TCTGAAGCTTTGCCAAATGCAAAAGGATCTTGTGGGTGGTTGGAGTTCAGCGTCAGGAGAGGCAGGCAAATGTAAGAACTGGCCGGCGCCCTTCTCTCTGAGGAACAGAGGGAGGGAACACTCAATGGTCAACACACAAACAACTCAGTAAGTCCAAATATCGGAAGCAGTCCGATTAAAAATTTCAGATACTGAGGGCAAGAAAAAGATCCTTCAAATCCTGCAGATGACACTTACTCCAAGGCCAAAAGGAGAAACCCTGAGAGTCCCCAGGACTGACCAGACTTTCCTGTGGCCAGAAGCAGCCCTCTGACTAGCGCAGCGGGTGTGAGCGTGAGCTCTGTCCACAATAGGAGTCCCAGGCAAGTGCAGGAGCCATTGTAGTGAGGGCGGCTGGGAGAGGGAAGTGGGAAGCAGGCTGTTCTCGGAGCCGGGCAAGAGGAGAGTGGATAAACAAGGCAGAAAGCAAGAGCAGGCGAACAGCCCCAAAGCAGTCTGAAACCAAGACCAAACAATCAGCCAAAGCAAAACAAATGTCCCTCAGTAGTCACAACAAGCTCACGAGGTCCAGGCTATCACAGGGCCTATCGGCCAGCACAGGGCCGAAATGTCTCACACTCAAATCTACGGATAGGGGTGGCGTCCCGCCTCTGAGCAGGCTAGGATCTGCTGCAGGAAGTCGGAGGCTGTCTCCACAGAGGAATGGAAGAAGAAAATCCTGAGCATTAAAGATAAGCCGTGCACTGTGCCTGTTCTTCCAACGTCAAGTGATCCACTTTCCTGGTATAAGGAAACTACTATATGAAACATTTTAGAGTAAAATGTTAGACCAATGACCCTTCATCATTTAGATAGTGAGAGGCTCGGGGCACAGTGAAGGGTAGTTTAAAATTGGGGAACAAAACCTTTCTATTCCATAGTCACATCATTGATTCTATCAATATAAGGTATACGTTCACAGATGTTTCTTCCAGAATCATCTTCATATGCACATGTAATCCATGCTGGAATAAAGTCATGTTAGGCTTGAATACCAAAAACGAGCTACTCGGAAACCAAACAGGGTGCCTTTGGGGACTCTGATCTCCACTGCAATAATGCTTCCGGACATTATTCTCGTCCCTTGTAATTCTTGTCACCTCAACCCAGGAAGCATTCAGGGCACAGTCAATGCTTGTCCTCTGGGGACGGAGAGTGAGCAGATGACACCTGGCTGAAGCAGCCATTCAGAGCTTGTTAGAGGAGAAAAGAGGACAGCAAAAAAAGCAAGAGCATGCAGCTGCATCCCTACAGAGATACTTTGGTCCCCACCCTGGAAACCTTATCCCAATGTAGAATGACGGTCATGGGGACTGAAGAGTGGAAAGGGCTGTCTCGTATCCCAGAGGAGACTGGGGATGTTGGAGGGAGCAGCAAGGCTCTGCATTTTCAAGTGCCAAGTGTAGGGTTGTAGCATCGGATAGCTACGGCTGCACAAGGAGAAGGCAGGCAGGCCACACCAGAGCACGGGGAAGCGCAGGTCCACTCATGAATGTTCTGTCTGTCATTGAGAAGAACACATATGGACGTGGAGGTGGTCCCAAGACTCTCTGTGACAGGGAGGACCCGGCATGATCTTGATGGGTGAAATGGGAGGTGTGGCCAGGACAGGGATGCTTCCACTGAGGCTGGTGGAGGAGGGAGAGCTGTGGACCACTCACTCCCACCTCTCACCCCAGCTCCAGCGCTTTGGCTTCCTGGAGAGGAGCCGGGAAGAGAGACAGTAAATTAAGTGAGATGAACTGTGCTGATTGAAACAGGTACTGTTTTTTGTTAGCACAGACTTTCACCGGCCGGGTGACTTTTAAACTCATAGGGTTCTGGGGGCAGTGATGTCCAGGCCTGTGGCTCTAGGATCCAGTGAGGGTCTCCCTCAGTGAGGCATCATCCCATGGCAGAAAGCAGAAGGACCAAAGAGATTGAAGAAAGATTTTACAACAAAGCTACTCATGCAGTAGCAGCCTTAATCCATCCGTGACCACATCACTTCCTACAGTCCCTGACTTTCAAATACAGATACAGTGGCAATTATATTTCAGTTTGGGAAGGGCCATGCAGACCCTTGACATGGGGTTGCCTCCACACAGCAGAACAGGAACCTAGGCAGCCCTGGAGTCACTGATGAGGAAGAAGGAAGTTACGTGTTGAATTTCTCAGTGTGAGCACTGAAATCTGTGGTCACTGTGCACGTGTCCGATCACATGAATTTGAGTAAAGGTGCTAAGGGTAAGAGAGGGAAACAGTGTTTGCAACAAATGAAGTTAGACGATGGCGTGTAAAAACAAGACAAAACTAAAAACCAAGACAGTAACAAAACAAACCTTGACCAACCCCTACTTCATGGCATACCTTAAAACCTCAAGCCAGCGATGTTACAATTCCACAACACAAAGACAAGGAACTCAATTAAAATACGAGCAAAGGATACAAAGAGAGATTTCTCCAAAGAAAGTATATTAGTGGCCAACGAGCACATAACAAGATGCTCAGCCTCATTACTCATTAAGTAGGCTCAAACTAAGACGACAGGCGAGACCACCTCATTCTCCAGAGGACAGCTACAATTAAAAACTGACCGCTTCCACGTGAAGCCGTTAGAACCGATTATCCTGCTGCCGGGAACACAACACTTTCTGGCTCCTCCGGAGGTTAAACCTAGAGGTCCCATATACATCAGTTACCTTTGTGGGACCATAAGATCCAAGAAAGGACACATTCATGTTACAAAACGGATGAACCTCGAAAACATTAAAGAGAAAGTGAGACAGAGATGACCAAATACTGTATGGTTTTATTTATGCCCCATGTTCAAAACAGGAAAATCTAGACAGAAAAAGTAGATAGTGATTGCAGGACTGGGAGGGGCAGGAACGGGAGCAACTGATAATGGGTACAGGATTTCTGTTGGAGCTGATAAAAGTGTCCTGGAATTGGATAATGATAGCGAATGCACAGCTTTGTGAATACACTAAAAACCAGTAAGCCGCATACTTTTTAATTTTATGGTATGTGAATTATATCTCGATAAGCAATATTGTGTGATGTCCTACTTGGGTTCCGGTTGCTGTGAAAAAACACCAACTGGGGAGCTGGAGAGATGGCCCAGGGGACAGGAGAGCAGTTGTTACTCTTCCAGAGGACTTGGGTTAGGTTCTCAGCATCAGTGTGGTGGCTCACAACTGTCTGTGACTACAGTTTCTGGGGAATCCATTGCTCCCTTCTGGCCACACACTGCATGTGTGTGGTACACATACATACACACAGATAATATAAACTAAAAACAAATAAATCTTTGAAGAAAGAAAAAAACAACACCAATAAAAGCAACTTGGAGGTAAAGGTTATTTGGCTTACACTTCCATGCCATAATCCATCACTGGGGGAAATCAGGACAGAAATTCAAGGCAGGAACCAGGACGCAAAAACTGAGACAGAACCATGAAGGAACGCTGCTTACTGGCTTGCTCCCCGATAACTTGCTCAGCCTGCTTCTTCTACAACCCAGGACCACATGTGCAGGGTTGGCACTGCTCCCAGTGGGCTGGGCCCTCCCACATCCATCAATCAAGAAAATACCCTATAGACTTTCATATAGGCCAATTCGATGGAGGCATTTTTCCAATTGATGTTTCCTCTTTCCAAATGACCCTAGCTTGGGTCAAGTTGATGCACAACTAACTGGCACAGATCATAAAATAAAAAGGAAAGAGGGATTAAAGACTTATCAGTAAAACAAACCCCAAGAAACTCTTTCAGAAAAACATAAAATAATGTGTGCCCTGGGAAAGGTCAAAGGTTTCCTCAAGCCAAGTATCTGTCACACTACTCTTGTGCACAGAGACCAGTAAGACCCATGATGGTGTGGGAGGAAGCAGGGTGGTGTGTGGCTTCAGAAAGAGAGAGCACAGTTCCGGTCAGCTAATGGGTGCCATTGCAACTGAGCGACCCTGAATCTAGGGGCAACAGATGGACTCCCCTGGACAGGTATTCCGAACGCCATCCTAACTTATCAAAACGCTGAGCTTTCAGGACGTAGCAGGCTCTCCACTCATGCTTTCGCTGGTCTATCACAGTGACCTGGCTTCTTACAAATAAAATGCACATGCACATGCATGTGCACACACCAGCAGGTATGTTCTGGAGCCAGGGAGTCTCTCTTAATTTTACAGACCTTGACTTTGATAACCTCACTTCTCAGTGGAGTCTTCTGCAGCAAGCTGATCCTATAAAACATCCATCTGGCATGTGAGACACAAAATTCAGTTTTGGAAAGCTTTCTGGATGTAGCCGGAGAGACTGCCTCATTGTTTATTCCATTTTTGGCTTCCTGAAAGTTTAAATATGAATCAAGTGGAAAATGACTTCAAAATAGATAAGGGATTACACAAATCTTTCCCCTCCTTCTCACTGCCATGAAAATAACCCTGTCAGACATGAAATGGTGTGCTGGCACTTTTCTGTTTTAAAACTACAGATGATAAAAATCCAATGATTCTATATGCACCTCTATGAATTTTGACAGCTACATAACAGCAAACATACTCAAGAAACAGAGCACCCCACACTGACTCCCTTGCGACATCTCTGTACTCACGTCATATGTCCAAACCAGTCCCTGGCACCACTGATATCCTCCCCATCTTTAAAGTTTTGCTTCTATCAGGATGTTTCATTAGAAAAAAAAAAAATCGGCCAGGTGGTCCGTGGCACATGCCTTTAATCCCAGCACTCGGAAGGCAGAGGCAGGCGGATCTCTGTGAGTTCGAGGCCAGCCTGGGCTACCAAGTGAGTTCCAGGAAAGGCACAAAGCTACACAGAGAAACCCTGTCTCGAAAAACCAAAAAAAAAAAAAAAAAAAAAAGAAAAGAAAAAGAAAAAAAGAAAAGAAAAAAATCACACAGTCCAATCTTAGCTCGGCTTCTTTTGCTCAGCATGATGTGTTGGCAAGCCCTCCATGCTCATGGGTGTGGTAAGCATTCCTCCTGTGCAGTGGGAAGCCCCACACTTGTTTATCCATCCACTAGTTAGTCACAGAAAACTTCTGTGGTTTTTATCCGTTATCAATAAAGTTGGATTGGACATGTAGCTCAGTGGTAGAGCACCTGCTTGGTATATGCAAGGCCCTGGGCTCAACTCTAAGCACTGAAAGAAAATGCTACAAACATAAAGTATAAATCTTAAATTAAAAAAAAATCTTTTGAGACAAGATTTTTATGTATCTTAGCTTGGCCTCAAAGTAGACAGTCAAGGATGACCTTGAACTTCTGATACCTCTACCTCCACTTAAGCTCTGGGATTGCAGGTAGACACTACCATACTTGTTTGGTGTGGTGCTGGGGACCAAATCCAGGGTTTCACGCTGCTTGTACATGAAAGGGGCTACATCCTCGGCCCCAGGGTTTCAATTTTACAGAACGGTTTCATTTCTCTCGGCAGAGGCAAACAAACAGGCATTTTGTTTCACTGGTTCTCAGCAACTCATGAATCGGGTACTGTTTTCCTGTAGTTTATTGTATAGGTTTCTCTTTTCTGTACATGGACCTTGTGGTTGATCTAATGTGCACCCCAATAAACTTATCTGGGGTCAGAGAGCAGAACAGCCACTAGATATAGAGGCCAGAAAATGGTGGCACACCCACCTTTAATCCTAGCATTCCGGAGGCAGAGATCCGCCTGGATCTCTGTGAGTTCAAGGTCACACTGGAAACAGTCAGGCATGGTAACAAGAGCCTTTAATCCCAGGGAGGATGGCAGGAAGCAGAAAGGTATATAAGGAGTGAGGACCAGGAACTAGAGCTGGTTAAGCTTTTAGGCTTTTGAGCAGCAGTTCAGCTGAGATCCATTCGGATGAGGACACAGAGGTTTCCAGTCTGAGGATATTGGCAAGGTGAGGTTGGCTATGGCTTGTTCTGCTTCTCTGACCTTCCAGCATTCACCCCAATAACTGGCTCCAGGTTTGTTTTTATTAATAAGACCATTTAAGATTCGTGCTAGAGGACCTTTCATTAAATTCCCAATGTCTCCAGTCATGGCTCCTTCATTCTATTTTCTGTACCAATACTTCTTTACTCTGGGAAAGCTAACAACATGACGATCCTTTTTAACCCCCACCTTTCACAGTGTATCATTCCCACGGTTCTTTCCACTGTCATCTTTATTTGGGCCACTGAAATACATTCTAGATTTCAAGCACAGTTCCCAGTTGTCAGAAAAGTTCCATTGGTTGACTCAAGTTGCTCATCGATTTGGTTGCAGCTCCCATTGCTCTACCGAGAAGTAGGGTTTTCTACAAGAGAGTGCCGTCAATGCCTGCCTCAGGTTTCACGGGCCAGAGCTTGAGAGACAGAGGAGACGGAACCAATGCAAGGAACTCGGCCCATCACAGGAACTAATAAAATCCCGAGTTCATTCCTCATCTGCCATTTGCCCTTCCGAAGTCTCCGCTAGTCCACTCTTCTGCATCACCCCGTTTTCAGTTTGCCTGACTTACTCCATCTCAGCTAGCTGGGGAAGGCCGTGCCACGGTGTGAATGAGAACAGGCCGAGGGGACTTGTGATGTCGGCCTCTGTTTTAAAGCCTGTGTCCGAATGAACGAGGTGCGCCGTGTAAGGTAAGAATTAAAGAGAACACAGCGACTTGAAAGGCCCTGATTAAAGGCCTGCTAGGCCACACGGCTTAAGTTAGTGTTGTGGCCACAGAAGAGACAGGTTTAGTATGCGGCTCCTGCTCTCCAGGAACCCAGCTATGGGAAGCCTGGCCCAGGGGAAATGCATGGCTACACACAGTCAAAAGTCAACAAGGCTACACAGGAAGAGGAGGAGGAGGAGAGATGGGAGCTGGGGTAACATGCAGGCCAGGCAGCTCCGTGCTGGACCTTCATGGAGACCAAAGGCATATTCCACTGGGGCCAAGAGACCTTGACAGGGTAATTATTTTTCTCCAGATGGTTTTGTCATTTTAAAAAAATTATACAGTGAGATTATTTTCCTAAAAGGAAACCAAGAGGCGGCTCCTGAGGGCATTTCTTATTACTCCTGACCCTGCTCGAGAGCCTTCCCATCTTTGCACATGGTAGACAGGGTTTCAGGGACCTTGACTCGGGGTGGGGAAGAGTGGCCCAGCTGTGAAAAAGTGAGTCATGGCATCTTCACTAGGGAGTCTCGAGTTACCGGGACAGGGCTCAGCGACCACTGTCACTCAGCAGGCTGCCGGCACCGCTGTGTACTTTAGCTGAGTTCAAGCATTTGGGAGCTCATTTCTCATATTATATCTGGGTTTACTCCTACCAGTCACAGTCTCTTCATCCTAGGAGAGAATCTATTATGTAAAAACCCACTCTTTGTTAAGCACATGGAAGGTCCTCATGGAGAGCCCTGGCTAGAAAAAGCCGGCCCCACGGGGGAGAGGCCATGGCTAAACCTTTGCGCAGATGGCCAGCAGGAGCGGAGGCGGCCAGGCCCACTGTGACTTTTCCCTCGCAGCTGTGTGGTAAGCAGCTACACTGCTGATTTGACAGCTGAGGGTCTCTCTAGCTTTAAATTCAGGCATGGAAGCAAATGTTTCCAAATGCTGAGCAGACAGGGAGAGTAAAGGACCCGGGCTGGGTCTGAGCCCACAGTGGCCTTGCACTGTGATCCTAAGGGGGTGGGCTCTCTGCCGACATGGGCGTCAAGTGTGGCACAGAAACCAACCTGACAGATCCCATGGGTTCTTCCGTAACATATATCTTTGCTTCTGTCTAGTAAGGCTTTGTGCCCGGGTCCTGATTTTTCTTTTCTGCTGCTCAAATCCACACTTCACGCTTGCCCAGCCATTCTGGGTCACGTCCGAATGTCAGGACTATGAATGCATCACACTTGCGCCTTTTCGGGGTTTTGTCTGGAACTCTCCTTTGTGCTGTAAAAGACCTTGTGTCCTCTGACCGCGCCCCCCCTCCCCATTCCCACCCCCACCCCCCATTTGGCCTGCTGCTGGGACTGTATTCTGTCACTTATCTAACATAAAATAAACAGAGCAATCTGGAGCTAATTTAAGTAGTTTACCATATCAGGATACAGCTGGGAAAGATTTTAAGAGAGGGCTGAACAGGAACAATAGCGCTCTGAAGTGGAGCCCCCGCGCAGGCAGCGAGCACACAGGAAGGCAGTTGCAGACAGCCTGGCAGACAGCTGTCAACCACTCCAATAACAATCCCCGAAGCCAATGAAAACGGGCAGGCTCGGTGCAGGCAGCTCGGCCGGAACACCGACAGTGAAAACAAGGGATTATAGGACGTTCTGACTTCATGGCTAGGAGTGTCAGGGCCACCTGTCTCTCGGGAGCCCTTCAGCAGGGCTCCTGACCAGGGAGGCCTGAAAGGCGGATTGCAGATGAGACCTTTCATTTCTCTACAACACCGGCCAAGATTTTTTTTTTTAGATGCGTGCATACATACTGGCTTTATCCTGACTTATGAATTCAGCAAGGCCCACAGCGGCACATCTGGTTTTGACATCAATTTCTTCTACTCCGCACGATGGTTGAGTTTTTAACTCTTTGGGGGGCCTCTGGCTAGACCTTAAATTTCCTGGTGCGACTTGACGGAGGTGAAGGGGGCTTGAGGGAGTTAAACAAAGCTGTGTGCTGTTCTTGAAAGAACTTGTGAACGCTTTATATTAAACCAAGCCAAAAAAAAAAAAAAAAGGAAACCACTTTGAGTCAGTCAAGCTCTTGACAAAAGTCCAGCCAATCAGGGGTGCTCTGAGGCAGTAGAGGGGTCCTGCAAACGATGGAATCAGACGCTTGGAGACCTGACTTTGTCAACTCTTACCACCAGGCCAAGGCTTCTGGGTCAGTTTCTTCACCTAAACCAGGTGACATTATCCCCCATTCCATCACTTAATTTCTGACATATGCTCATACTTTCTCCTTCCAGAAAGTGCTGGATTTAGTGAAAATTCCCCTCTGACAAGAGTAACTTCTAGGTCTGTTGTGGAAAAACTCCATTTGTTTCAAAGTCATTTTAAAAAGGTAACCTATACCTGCTGTCCTAAAACCTATACCTGCTGAATGACATCCGGGAGGCTCAACAGAAAATAACCCAGCTCGGAAAAAGAAAAGAAATAAAGGTTTTATTAGTGACCATTCTCTCCATTTTATATCATGTCTATCACATCAGAGTAGATCACTGAAAGAACAGTTACTCATGTTTCCATAACAGAAGCTAAGCCTAAAATTTCACTGTATAAATAAGTTTTTGAAACAGAAGGCAATATGAAAACTTCTTCCAAGCAAAAGGATAGGAAGGCTGGAAAATATTTCTTTAAACAATGTAACATCCGGGGCTGGAGAGATGGCTGGGCAGTTAAGAGCATGTACCGCTCTTCCAGAGGACCCACATTCAGTTCCCTGCACCCACACTGGGCAGCTCACCGTCACCTGTAATTCCAGCTCTACAGGATCCAACATCCTCTTCGGCACTACAGACACTGCAGGCATATCCATACACCCAAACACAGACACATACACTGTGCTGGATAGTTTTATATCAACTTGACACAGCTAGAGTTATCTGAAAGGAGGGAACCTCAACTGAGAAAATGCCTCCTTAAGATCCAGCTATAAGGCATTTTCTTAGTGGTTGATGGGGGAGGGTCCAGTCCATCGTGAGTGGGGACACCCCTGGGCCGGTGGTCCTGAGTTCCGTAAGAAAGCAGGCTGAACAAGTCATGAAGAGGAAGCCAGTAAGCAGTGCTCTTCCATGGCCTCTGCATCCGCTCCTGCCTCCAGGTTCCTGCCCTGTTTGAGTTCCTGTCCTGACTTCCTTCAGTGATGAACAGTGCTATGGAAGTGTAATGCAATTTGCTTTTTGTCAAGGTGTTTTTATCACAGCAATAAGAACCCTAACTAGGATATATATGTACACATAATTTAAATTAAAATATATATTTAAAAATGTAGCCGGGAGGTGGTGGCGCACGCCTTTAATCCCAGCACTCGGGAGGCAGAGCCAGGCGGATCTCTGTGAGTTCGAGGCCAGCCTGGGCTACCAAGTGAGTTCCAGGAAAGGCGCAAAGCTACACAGAGAAACCCTGTCTTGAAAAACCAAAAAAAAAAAAAAAAATGTAACATTCAGTTAGGCTTGATGGCACAAGTCTGTAATCCAAGTACTAAGGAAGTGGAGGCAGGAAGATCATAAATCTAAAGTCATCCTAGATTATATAATGAGTTTGAGACCAGCTTGGACTACATGAAACGAGAGAGAGAGAGAGAGAGAGAGAGAGAGAGAGAGAGAGAGAGAGAGAGAGAGAAAGGGGGGGACACATCCCTCCTATTTGTAAACCACATCAGCTCAATGATTATTTCAAAATAATATCATCACTTTAAAATTAAAAAAAAAAAAAAAACAATCCAACAGTCTGAAAACCCAATTTTTTTTCCAGAAAAATGCTCAAACAGTAGCATGTAGAATTACCCAGAAGATTGCCGAAGCATGGATTAGAGTCCCACTTCAAGGGCCTCTGGCCCAGGGAAGAGACCAAGGATTTATCTTTCTCACAAGTTCCCAGAGATGCTGGTATTGCTGCTCCTGGGACCTTACTTGGAGAATCACTGACCCAGCGGGAGATTAAAGGCAATGCTTTGAAGTTACCACTTACGTTCTGTACCTTTGTTACTGCTTTTCTGAACTGCTGATCAAGTGTGGCTGAAACAGAGGGGTACCGAAGTCAATGAAGACTATCCAGAAAAGGCACACCTAAGAAAACAGCAACCCTTTAACTCTGACGGCTATAAAATTATCAAAGTAGCTCCATCCTGTGTGTGGTAATGTACACCTGTAATCTCAAGAGGTTGAGAGAGGTTATCATCAAGTTCACACAGCCTGGACTGTTCTCTCTCTCTCTCTCTCTCTCTCTCTCTCTCTCTCTCTCTCTCTCTCTCTCTCTCTCTCCCTTCTTCCCATTCTCTCCCTCCCTCTGTGTCTCTCTGTCTTTCTCTCTCCTTGCCCCCACTCTTACACAAACACAAACACACACACACACACACACACACACACCCTCTAAAGAGTGAAACTGCCCTGACTTCAGAATGAAAGGGTAAGGCACAGGGAGGATGTTAGAGCAGTGAGTCCCTGAATCCAGCCCCCCAGCCCACGTTCTCATTCTGGCTACACTGCGGAGTCATGTGAGCGGTGGTCAGATCTTAGGAGGGGTTTCCCAGAGGACTTGGAAGACTGTAATCATGCCTAGCCAGTGCTCTGCCCTGCAGAAAAGAGGAAGTGTGGGCTCATGGATAGACAGCTTGTATGTGTGTGCGTGTGGGGGGGGGGGGGTGCAGAGCTTTGAATTCTTAACACTGGACCACAGAATCACAAAGATTATCTAAGAGATCAACACGAAGATGATAAGGCCTAGTTAAATGGTATGAGAGGGGCCGTGCAGGGTTAGCAGCAAAGCCACAGTCATACTGTGGTTGCTGAAGCCCATCCCAATCTCCACCATTGTATTTGACTGTAATTACAGCGACAATAAAATGAATAAAGGAGATATCTGGGCGAGTTCTAAAACAAATCTCAGCAGACAACAATAAGGTCAACCATCATTTTTGAGATCCCAAAGGTTTCATCTGAAATATCCATTTTAAGAACCCGAGGAATCACTGTAGATTCTATTAATTTTGACCCCTCCAATGGCAGCAGATCTTCACCATCTATGACGTACCTGGGTCTAGTGAGTGGGGACCCGCACGACTGTGACCCAGATACTGTGACTGTGAAGAATTAGTGGTCCGCACTCCAGCCCCCTCCGTCCCTCTCCAGAGGGCTCTCTGTCAACCTCCACTGACAATCACCACATCTCTCCGAGAGGGGCTTGCCGGGAGAAAAGTACGGCCATGGAGTCATCCAGGGGATGCCTATAGTTTCTCTCAGACTTTGAGAGACTCAGAGCAAGTAAAAACTATGTTTAAAGCTGTGTCTTCCACGTGGCTCTCATCATAGGGTTTTGGCCCACAGGAAAAGGAAGGACCTGTCGGTTTTATCCACGGGAAGTAAGAAGAGACAGTCTGTTTCAGGGAAGATCAAATAAACAGTTTTTGCTGTGATGATTTCAGGTTTACCAGCACAACAGATGCATCAAAAGGTACAACACACCCCCAAACCCAGAAAGAGTGACACTTCACTCAGCTGGACAACTCAATGGCACAGCCAGTGAGGAGGGCTGCTCTGAGCTCATGACACGGAGTAGAGGACATTTAGGGGACCTCCAGCCATTGACTAAGAACCTTGTCCTCTTGGGATTTTTTTCATAACCATACTGTCCATCTCTATTTGCCGGCCAGGAAACAAACATGCAATCAGAAACGATTTTTGCATGTATATGTGTGCATGCCGTATGTGTACACATGTGTGCTCAGGTATGCTGTAAGCCGTAAAAATATACAAAGTGGGATTTCAGCTGATTGTGACAAAGCTAATACCTGGAAGAAGCCAAGGGCCTTCCAGAGGTCAGGCTGAGGCTCAAGGAGCCTTGGTGATATTTGGCTTTTGATTATCAGCCGTTTCCTGCTGTGAGTTTCTTGTACGCTATTGTAGCTTTTCCATCATTTATTGGGCACCATTTCCCCTCTACTAAAGGAATATTTAGATAACTTTCTGCGCTGACAGCTGTGCACAGCCAGAACCCCAGTTCAAGCCTCCCTGTAATTACAGTCATTGGCAGCATCCGGCCAGGTCCAAACCCCGGACGGAGGAAAGTATCTTATCAGAGATACCTCTGTACTCTCTAAGAACAGACTTAAGTGTCCAGACTACCTGCTTGAGAAGGCCTGGCGGATGTGCCAATTAAGCTTTACTTCCTCCTTTCCCAAACCTTACCTCTAGTTCCAGATCTCCCTTTAACTATCACCAGAGGCATCTAGCTGTACACAGGTTGCCTAGCGACTGAACACACCTTCTCCCACCCTGCAGAAAAAATGGCAGATAGCTTGGACAGATAGGAGCCACAGGAAAAAAAGAAGGCAGTTTTATTTTCTCTTATTGACCTAGCAACTTACAGATTTTTAACATTTTCTACCAATCACGTTTAAGACTATAGTTGAGCACATAGGATCCCTCTTCTTAGATATTACCCGAATTTAGCCTTTAGTTAATTCATTAGTCACTTCCCTTTTGGGTTGCAAATGATAATTAACAATTACTGTCCCTCTGTGTGATTCTTATCACCCCTCCGTTTGACCCTGGAAGCCTGGTGGTCACTGCCTGAGGAAACTCTTACCTGCCCTTATAACCACACAAGAATTCAAGCCTGGTGACCTTGCTCGACCAGGCGATTGCTATTGTTTGGGTTTATAACTGGACTCTGGACAGACTTGGGGGGAACAGAGAGATGGAGAACAGGGAGGAACAAGGAGGATTTTGACCAGAGAGTACGTGTGGACGAGATGGAAGATGAGGAAGAGTCAGATGGGAAGTACTAGCTGGGTAAGAAGAAGATGAGAAAGGACCTAGATGAGGCAGATAAGATAGAACTTAGTGGGAGCAGTAGATGAATATAGAGAAAAATCAGGAAGAAAGGAGCTAAAAGAGAATAGAAGCTTGTAGAGAGAGAACTGACTCAGAATAATAAAGTGTATGGACTAAGAAGTTTCGTGTACACAGATTCATTTCTTTTCATCAAAGATTAGTTATCAGCTGGTTGTAGATTCTTCCCGGACGAGGGGCTGGACTGCCATAGTCCCGGATACAGGTACATACGTGTGCATGTATGTGCATGTGCATGTATGTGCATGTGCATGTATGTGCATGTGTATGTGCATCGACAGGCCAGCAGTCGACGCTGGCTGTCTTCCTCATCATCTCCACTTTATTTACCGAGGTGGGGATCTCTTCACTGAATCTGGAATTCACAGATTTGACTAGTCTAGATTGCTAGTTTGCCCTCTGGGTTCCTTTGTCTCTGCCTCTGAGCACTAGGATTACACACAGGCCACAGGGCCAGGCTGGAATCCAATCTCTAGTCTTCATACTTAGATAGCAAGTTCTTTGTCCATGGAGCCGTCTCCCCAATTCTCAGGATTTTTTTTCTTTCTTTCTTTCTTTCTTTTTTTTTTTTTGTTGTTGTTTTTTGAGACAGGGTTTCTCTGCGTAACAGCTCCGGTTGTCCCGAAACTCACTTTATAGACTAAGTTAGCTCAAACTCACAATGATCCTCCTGCCTCTGCCTCCTAAGTGCTGGGATTAAAAGTCTGTGTCAATACCACCCCACTCAGAAATTCTTTTTAAGGCAGATCTGCTGAAGGAATGCTTTAAAACAGATGTTATGTTTGTTCATTTGTTTCACTGCAGGCAAGGCACACAAGTGTACCATAGCATGCATGTGGAGGGTAAAAGACAACTTGGAGAATCAGTTCTCTCTTTCTGCCATATCGGTTCTGGGGATTGACCTCAGGAACTAACTCCAGAGTGGAGGCAAATGCCCTTACCCACTGAGCCCTCTCACTGGCCCCATAAAATCCATACTTGTTTGTTTGTTTGTTTACTTATTTATTTATTTATTGGTCTTTCGAGACAGGGTTTCACTGTGTAGCCCTGGCTGTCCTGGAACTTAACTCTGTAGACTAGGCTGGCCTTGAACTACAGAAATCCACCTCCCTCTGTCTCCCAAGTGTTGGGATTAAAGGTGGGCGCCGCCACCACCTGGCATGAAATGCATTTTGACTCACAGTGAGTTTCACAGGAAGGGTGAGTCACCAGCAAACACAGACTTAGTATTCCTGCTGACCTGTTGTGCAGCGGAAGCTACCTCACTCGGTTCTCAAGTTTCCCCTACTACGACCAAACACAAGCCTATGGCTTCTATGAGTGGATTATACCACAATGAGTTAGGACCTCCTGGTTCCCATTTCAGTACAGGTGCAAAGCTGCGGATGTTCTGGAACTGAATTCCACAGCCCTGCCGGCACAGATCCATCACAATTACTCCCCAACACTACGACTAAGTGTTTATGCCAAAGTATCCTATGGAGGTACCCAAGATTTCAGCAAATAACAAACAACCACTCTCTTTGCCAACTGTTGTCACCCAAATCTTGGATTCTTAAAATGAATGCTATTGTTAAAACATGATTTTTTTATTGGTTTTCTTGTGTTGTCTTTTTAAAAGGTGGGGACAGGATACCACATATGCACTACAGCACACATGCTAGTCAGAGTCAGTTCCTGCCTTTTAGTGTGGGTTCTGGGGATCAAATTCTGGTCAAAAGTGGCTAGGCAGCTCTATCCACCTTCCCATCTTGCTGGACCTTTTTTTATTTTATTTTTTTAATCTTGGGGCTAGAACCTATGATCTTTCATATACCAGGTACATACCCCACTATTATGTTTTTAAGGAACTGTTATGTTTTAAAGGAACTGTTAATGTCAGAAGCAATCTCCCCACATGAGTTTAAATGTTTTTCTTAGGAATAACACAATTCATAATTGTCCTCTTTATCCTTTCAGTAGTTCTAACTTTCTTCTATGATCATGAATTGATTTTTACATCAGAAATATGAATAATTTGATGAAATTACTGAGATGGTTTTTAAGTGAAAGTAATTAGGAGATAGTAAGGATTTCTTCTGAGAGCTGACATTAAATCTAAATGACTGTG